TCCCTTGGAGCTGTGAAAAAATCAAATTTCTAAGTCAACGCAATCAAAAAATACAGCCGTTTATACCGCAAATTTTCGACATTCGCAAGGGAATCAAAACCTACAGGGTACTTCCCGTGAACTCAGAATCTTAAAATTTGGTACGAAGCAACGTATTATAGCACAGATAAAGGAAAAATTGCGAAAAGCATAAATTTTTAGTTACATCATATAATAAAAATATTTTTAATAATTTTAAACTTATATACCTACGGATTTGTTCGGAACACAAGGTGTGCGAGTCCGACTCGCACTTGGCCGGTTTTATTTCTGGCTACGTTTAAGTAGGTACTACTCACTTAGCTATTTCTGCCGTCAAAAAGTAGTGCTTGCACTGCAGAGTTGCGGTCTGATGGTAATGGAGAGCCATTATTATTACAGACTACCTTTAAAGAAAGATGGCTACAAATACGATGTCACCAACGACACCGGAACACAGCAGTTTAAGTTCTACTTAGCGGCGGAAATAGGAAAGAAGGTGGTACCTACCCTGATAGCGATCCTATTTCAGATAAAAAATGCCTACACTATGTTCCAGTATGAAGGGTATAGAGAGGCTCAGAAGGGCTAGAACCCAGAGCCGTAAAGCCAGTTTAAAAAAAAGGTATAGAAAGCCAGTACAATTGCAGGCTGCTCACAACTTGTGTCAACATGGCATCTTAGTCCTAAGAGGTGACAACGACTCTTTAGTTCTTCATTTGAAGTTTGCTGTTCTTTTCTCACTTCAGTTTTATACATAAAATTAAAAAAAAAACACCTGCAAGTAACTTTATGCAATGCACAGAAATATTATGTAGGTAGAGGTTAGTTAATCCAGAATTTCTAGGCAGAACAAGAGCTTTGCGACAACGCTATGCACGCAAATAAGTTTCACAGGCATTTTTTATACACTGGTGAATTCTATCAAGTTGAACATGTTAATACAAAGATAAAATTGCTTTAGTGATTTTGCCGTGGGAAGAGATATCTTACCTCGTCAAATAAATATAAAAACAAAGAAATCATACTAAATGTTTACTATCGGCTACTGCTATCTGACTACGGCGTAGTCAAAACATGTGCAACAAATTAATGCACAATTTATGTACGTATTACGTATTATGCATTAATCTGTTCTCTTGTTATCAAAAACGATTAACATGTAGGGTAAATCATCCAGTAGTTTACCTTTTTGTGAGGACGAAAATTTGATTCAACTGTATTTTAAATATTATACATTATGTATAAAAACAATCATTATTCTCAGAAAGCTTGTTTATTAAATTTACGAAAGAAATCAACAAAACATTATATATTTATAATAGAATTATATAAAAAATCAACATTAAACAAATTATGGCACTTTTCACCAGTAGTCAACCTCATTTCTCCACAAGTCAGCCATGTCTTACCCTGTAGTCAGCGTCTCACTTACTCTTGCATATTTAGCATAGAAATTCTTTATTATGCATATTTTCAAATATCATCATCATCATCATCATCATCATCATCATCATCATCATCATTACAGCCCTTCACAAGTCCACTGCTGAACATAGACCTCCCCCAAGGAATGTCACAAAGCACGGTACCGAGCCACCTGCATCTATTCACTTCCCGCATGTTTTACCAGGTCGTCACTCCATCTAGTGGAGTGACACTCTACACTTCGCCTGCCGGTTCGAGGTTGCCACTCGAGAACCTTTCTTCCCCATCGATTGTTGGTTCTTCGAGCTATATGGCCGGCCCATTGCAACTACAGCTTACTAATTCTTTGGGCTATGACGGTTACTCTGGTTCTACAGCGTTAATCCTCGTTTTTAGTCTATCACACAGAAAAACGCCAAGCACCTTCTGACAGCTATCACATTTATTGGACTAGGCATTCCAACTGAAAAATCGGTACCTACAATATTCGATTCTTAAGAGATATCGATATCGATTTATTATAGTTGGTAATCATTTGAAGTTTTATCTAAATTAATAACAGAATAAATTAGAAACAGAGAAAACACAAATTTTATTAGTTTTTTCATATTGCTCCTTTCTAGAGATAAAGTTATATAAATTAAAGAATGCATTAGATTAAAAACAGATCTATTTAATCACTTTTACTACAACTAATTGAGCTGCCGTCGTCATCATCGTTGACGTTACATTATGTTACTTTATTTTCTACAATAAATTCAATAATGACGACTAAAAATAAAAAAACTGCGGTTGCCAACTTGCTTGCCAAGCTTGGCAACTATGGCAAATATCAAATATATAACACTTATGAATCTATACTACCATTGTACAAGCCGGCTTCTTCCAAATTTACTCGTAACAATTTCATATAACGATACATATAATTTTTGCGAGTCTAAAAATAAAAATTAAAATAAACAAATAATATATTAAAATATGTAAAGGTTCGATTATTTGAATATTTTTATCGATTATTCGCATTAGAATGAATTTTAAGCATCCAAGCACTACGGTAAGGTACATAATTACATATCATTGAAACAACGTTAAGCATAATAATTTAAAATTAAAAATTTTGTACAGCCGACTTCAATATAAGTTATTTAAGAATAACTTAAAAACTATTGGTCTGACCTTGATCAAATTCATATGGGACCACACGAGAAGTACCAGCTTTCAATTAAAAAAAGAATCATCGAAATCGGTTCACCCAGAAAAAAGTTCTGAGGTAACACACATAAAAAAAAAAAAAAACATACAGTCGAATTGAGTACCGGCTCCTTTTTGGAAGTCGGCAGAAAATTGATTCTGGTATTTTTTTAATATTTTGCTTAGTTTGAAAGATTCGAATTTAAATTAGTGATAGAGAACTATACATGTTGTAATGAAATATAGATAACTTTGTGATTTTTTGGATTTACATAAGAGATTATTTTAAATCGTGTGAGTACGCTTGTTCAAAGTTACTGCGGAATGATAATGTGAAACGTCAAAAGGTATTTTTTAGATTTGGTTGAGTGTAACAATTACGACGGAACGGCGGATTGACGATCACCCTACCAGACGTTTCACACTTTTGACACAGCTTTACCGGTCTAGGTAGTTAAAACTTAAACTTGATGGTATCAATGGTCAATCTATCGGAAGCGACCAGATCTTTTTGGAATGTTTATTTACTCAGAACTACACACACTCTTTTTTTTTATTAAGAATTTTTTATTTTTTAGATAATTAAGCTGTAATAATTATTAGCGTTTTCACAAATATTTCCCCCTTTTGTTTAATTGCATTGTTAACGAACTTGTAACCTCGTTTTGACCGAATCGTATTTTCCCTCCAATTGATTTTAAAGTTTAAAGAATTTATAGCTTCATTGGTAGTGTCACCTTTATTCCTATTCCATTGATTATTTATAATTTGTAAGAAACTTTTTGCACAGGAAATCTCTTTCATGGGACACTTAAGGCAACTTAAGTATTAAAACAAATTAGAGATTGAATTCCGAATCCCGTCTGTATAGATATCGCGTTTATGAACTATATTTCTGTAATTCTGTTGTCAATATCGCTTCACGTGCTCGCTCAGTTTCTAGAATATTTCGAAGTTATTCACTTCATACTCAGTACTAGTGCATTCTGGCATGCTGCTATTGTTTGGTACACTTGCTCTCGCACGTGTACAATCTATCGTTCCGACGTGCACGTCCGATAACGTTACCTACTTCTGTTTAACAACTCAATGCCACACACCTGTTTAGATTTTTTGTTTTTTAATACGAGTCTACCAAGTTGATCTTGGCTCCTATTCAGTTTAGACGTGTCACCGTTGACGGCTAAAATTATTCAACGGTATTATACAAATTCACTTTTCCTAATGGGTGTATCTTTTAAAACTTGCCGTATTTCAATTCAATCTCTTAAACTCGAATCTTTCAATTTTACTGACGCTATTGCAGATTAAAATTAAACGTTTAATAAACAAAATAACCTCCATCAATGAATTTTGTAAAACCATTGTATATTTTGATTCCTATTTAATTAGATCTGTAAAGCGGGTTTTCCTTGCCTCTTGATTCGATCCGATCATTCGCAATGTCTGCCAATTTGATCGACACGATTACTAAGGCGGCATGATGCAAGAAGAGGTGTAGCCAGTCGGTCGGTGGGTGGGTGGATCCGGAGCGCGGGGACGGATATGCACGTGCCAGAAGCGAAGCCACCGAGCATGCCATGCGTTCGCAGCCCTCCCCTCACTTGTTGAACAGGCTGCATCGAAGTACTACTGCCGGCCTTCACTCCACATCTTCCATCTTCTGTCCCTCTCGCACTTTCCTCTCTCTTTTGCAAATATACATATCTGACAGAAACTACGGATACTAACGTATCGATTTTCAACACCACGTTAAATTCCCTTGTACAGTAACATAATATTATGTAGTAATATTAATCTACGGTCTTAACGAGTTGTTTAACTACATTAAATATTTTTTTACATAAATGACGAAAAATGTCGCCATTCATAAAATTATATTTTTTTTTTTGTAAAATTAGTAGATTTTAAGGACTATTTAGTCTATAACAGGGTCAATACTCAGTTAACTTTAGGCGTCAGCGTGTACGTATTTCAAAAAATTGCTTCTTCCAAAGTTTAATATTTTTCTTTGTAAGGCTTAAATCGTTGCGCAAAACTTACTACGTCATTGCCGACTTCGTCAATGAAACCTTATACATCTATTTCGCGATTTAACTTTATTTCTTTCAATTTCCTAACAAAGCATAGGTACTTAGAAATTTCGAGTAAAATGAAAAAATTGCCCGACGCAAACGCATCCGTTTATTGTGCAAAATGTAAATATAGATAAAAATACAACATGAAAGCAATGATTCAAAAATAAACTGTTAAGTGGAGAAAAAGTTCTAAATAAACTGTTGATAAAAATGACAAGGACGTATTTTAGTGGAATTGGGGACTTGTGTAATAAATTGTTAGTGAAGTTGTAGTTTTACCGTAGAATGGGTATACTCATGGAAACCGCCAAAGTGAATTTGGTCACTGCCAGCTACCGAGGAAGTGGTGCCGAGTCACAAATTTTCGCCGCAATGGGAGCTCCGAACGAGGCGCTGTACAGAGATACGTTGCATACAATAGCCATAAATACCAGGGAGACAGAATTCGGAAACATAGTTGAACCGATCCCAATTACACTTAAAACATATAAGCCGTTTCACACTCACGGGCAATCGATAGACGGATTTGGTTATCCACAGTCAGTGATATCGTCAGTTTCTTCAGTCGCTCGATTGCCGGAATGCGATACACCTCCCACAAATAGGAATCAAAGTCCAGTGAAGGAAGAAGCAAAAGATGATCAAAAAGTGAGGCCTCCACCTAAAAAGAAGTGGATCAAGGAGTATCTAGGTGAGTCATGAAATTATGATCGAGATTATATACATATAATAACATTTAATATAAATAATACGTTTATGTAACAATCAAACGCGGTGGATTACCAAATATTCTAAAATAGGCTCTTAACGTACTTTTACGTAGCATTATATTATGTGGAATTGTGAAACATAACAAAACTCCATTTTTTTCTCATAAACCTTTCTTGAACCTCTCAATAATACGTCATCTGGAATGCATAACATGGAAGATTTTGCACCCATTCATTCAGTACAGCGTATCGAAAATGCACGGCTGAACACTGTCCTCCCCCATAGATTGCTTGATGGGTAGTACTTGCAATGGTTACCACGGTAGGCATCCCCAATTTTTTATTATTTTCAGCTGTTATCAGAAAGATACTGCTGCCCATTTCATGCTTCATTTCCCTTTACCGCCTCTATGGGCTAGTGGATTCTCTTACTCCAGTTTGGTGAGCGCAGTACCGATACCTTCATACTGGTAATAACGCTAATCAGCAGCCAAAAGAATATAGACACCAAAAAAAAAAAATCATTTTTCCATTCCATTTTCAAATGGACATAGCGGCATTGGTCAGTCGTCAGACTTGTTTGTTATTTAGAAGTCTGCACCACTTTTAGCAGTGGTTGGCATTGGCATGTGGATAAAATTTAGATTCCTTTAACACTTAAGATTAAAATTTTAACGAGGCGTGGTTATTCATTACTGGTCATATGGATATAACGACATAAAATCTCTCAGCGAGCGATGAATCCAGGACGTTTCCTCGGGTCACAGAATTCGTAACGATGATATCCGCAGAACTACAGTAGTGTATATTCTATTTAAAAGTTTTATTATAATATTTAAAGGAAAGACATCACATTTTATATCGCTGCTTTTCTTTTTAATTGTCAACTTTAGTAATAAACGTAATAACGGTGGTAGACTTTGGGAGCCTAAACATAAAATATTATAGGTTAAAAAAATATCAGTGGGGTAAAAATTATTATATTTTTACAAACCAATATGTTACCCTAGTAATTCAAGATTCAGAGTAGTCACTTGTTCATGTTGTAAAGGAAAGAAGTCCACTTACGAAACGGAAAAATACTTATTTAAAAGTCGGGTGTTATCGGGTTTCTCTAGTGACAATCCAGACGTCTATCCCATCCGGATCCGGTTACCGTCGCAATGTTATGCGAATAAGTCACGATAGTAACGATGTTATTATGTGTGAGTCGTCTTCGATAATAAATAAACAAATCATTTGAGAATTAAATAAGTACGAAGAAAGACCCGACAAATATCAAACTAAGGTTTAGAAAATATATTTTTCTAAACCTTAGTCAAATGATATAATATATTACGTTAGCTAAGAATTAAATATTCTTTATTACGTACGCTTTTTAAAAGAAATATTATATTTTACCATTTTCTTCAACAAAATTTCCTCGGCTTCGAGACATTTTGTTTACCAGGAAATGGTTGCAATTTTTTTCCCGTTTTTAATAGTGATCGGAAACGCCCGTAGACCTCAAGGTGTTCCTCTCGTGAAGGTCGATATGCACGCTGTAGCGCACTGACTGTATAACGACTGGACTCTATTTATTGCCTAACAACCGTGATTAATTATATCTATACATCTATACAAATAAATAAAATTGAAGTGTCTGTTTGTAATGTTAAAATAACACCTTTTTACTAAATGCATATTATGAATGCATAAACGGTACTAATAATAACAAGACAATTTTCAACATTTTTGTCTGTCTGTGTGTCTGTCTGTTCCGGCTAATCACCGAAACGGCTGGACCGATTTTGACGGGAGACTCACTGGCAGATAGCTCATGTTATAAAGATTAACTTAGGATACTTTTATTTTAGAAAAAGAATCAGGGAATAGAATAGAATAGAATAGAATGATTTTTATTCAATATGGATTATTACATAATACTTATTGAAAGTCATTATTTTATTTACCACTGGTTCGGAAAATACCTCTGTCCTGGGAAGAACCAGCAAGAAACCCAGCGGGACTTTTTTTTTTTAAACATAATTTCACTTAACAATAATTTTGATTATACAATTTTAAATGAATTTTCATAGAACCAGCATGGTGGCGATCACCTTATTCCCAGGGGTTATTTTCACTCATGTATTCCTTGATATTATAATAACCCTTTTTGTACAGTTTTTCTTTAATAAAACTTTTAAACTTGTTTATTGACAAACTTTGAACATGTTCTGGGATTCTGTTGTAAAAGCGTATACATTGCCCCATAAATGAATTACTAATTCTGTGGAGTCTTGTAAGTGGCATTACAAGCTTATGTTTGTTCCTAGTGTTTAAGGTATGAACATCCTTATTCTTATTAAAGCTATTTATGTTTTTATGTACATACATTACATTTTCATAAATATATTGCGATGCCAAAGTTAATATGTTTATTTCTTTAAATTTTTCTCTAAGGGACTCTTTACAATTTAGATTATAAATCGCCCGTACGGCTCTCTTTTGCAAAACAAATATAGCTTCAATATCAGTCGCATTACCCCATAGCAAAATTCCATAAGACATTACGCTATGAAAGTAACTAAAATACACTAACCTAGCTGTCTCAACATCTGTGAGACTTCTAATCTTTCTTACAGCATATGCTGCAGAACTAAGTCTGCTTGCTAATTTAGATATATGGGGGCCCCATTGAAGTTTCGCGTCAATAGTAATACCGAGAAAAACAGTGGTATCCACAAGACTCAACTCCTCCCCATTTAAGAGCACATTGGTTTTCGAATGTTTTACATTAGGTATTGTAAATTTAATACATTTTGTCTTATTGCCGTTTAAGAGCAAATTGTTGGCGTTAAACCAATGTACTAGTTTCGATAGAGCATTATTTACATCGTCATATTTAATTGACTGCCGTTTCAGTTTGAAAATTAAAGAGGTATCGTCAGCAAATAATACTATATCGTGATTGTCCCCTACAAGATAAGGTAAGTCATTAATATAGATTAAGAACAGGAATGGGCCAAGAATCGAGCCCTGAGGAACGCCCATTGATACTACCGATCCGGAGGAACATTTACCATTAATGACGACTTTTTGAGTTCTGTTACTTAAATATGAAGTAATAAGTTTAAGCGCCAAATTTTTTACACCGTAATGTTGTAGTTTCCTGATTAATGTATCATGATGAACACAATCGAAAGCCTTGGAAAGGTCACAGAAAATACCTAAGGCATCTTGTGAATTCTCCCAGGCATTAAAAATATATTTCATAAGCTCAACACCGGCGTCAGACGTCGAGCGACCCCTTGTAAAACCAAATTGATTTTTATGAAGTAATTTATTTGTATTAAAAAAAATTAACAATTGATCCAAAATTATTTTTTCAAAAATTTTACTGAGAGTTGGTAGTACAGAAATAGGTCTATAATTAGCGGGGTCCAATGTACTACCAGATTTAAATAAAGGTATTACTTTACTATACTTCATTAAATCAGGAAACACACCAGAATCGATACAAGTATTAAAAATAATAGCAAGATGAGGTGCAATTAAATCTATTATGGACGTAATCACTGTAACGGAAATCCCCCACAAATCTGCGGTTTTCTTTACATCAATGGTTTTGAAGTATTTTACAATATTATGCGGTAATACTTTTTCAAATCTAAATTCTTTTAAACAGGTATTAACATTCTGTTTAAGTAATGATTCGGCGACAGTTGGAGAAGCATTCAATGACTCTGTTGTCAAGATAGGAACATCAGTGAAATATTTCTCAAACACCGCTGCAACTTCTTGATTTGATTTAGTCAATTCATTATTAATTTTTAATTGATAGTTTGAATTACGAGGTTTCTCATTACCGGTTTCGCTGTTAATTATACTCCACGTCATTTTAATTTTATTCTTAGCTGTCTTAATTTTGTTACTAATATGTAATGATTTGGCTGTGGAGCAAACTCTTTTAAACATTTTAGAATAATTTTTTACATATTCTTTAAAAGCATCGGAAAGATTATACGATCTTTCATGGTAAAGGTCATATAACCTTCGTCTGCTTTTATAAATTCCTACTGTCGCCCACTCATTAAATGCCTTGCGACTGTTTCTGGAGAATGTTTTAGAAGTGAATGTTTTATTAAATTCATTGTTTATAAAGGTAAATAATTCTCTATATAAATAGTCTGCATTGTTCTTATAAGAAAGGGATGGAAGGATTTTTAACATATTACTTCTAAATCTCTCCAGGCGTTTTGCATTAATAGGAACAAACACAATTTTCTCATTTACCTGTTTTTTGTGCATATAAGGTAACGAAACCAGTTGTCCACAGTGATCTGAACTAAGTTTTTGAATTATTGATTTGTTGATTGGTACAACACCTGTAAAAATATTATCAATACAAGTTGCACTACACCCTGCAATACGTGTAGCTTCAAAGAATAAATTATTAAGATTATAGGATTTGAACAAAGAACAGAATTTAATACTGATGGAAGAAGTTTCCAGGAGATTGATATTAAAGTCTCCACACACTACAAGAGATTTATTCTGTTTATTAAGCTTAACTAAAACTTCTTCCATAATTTTTTCAAAAGTATCATAACTTGAACATGGGGGTCTGTAAACACTGACAACAATAAGGTGCTCAAGCTCAACACATGCCATTTCTACAGTACGCTCAACAGAGAGGCTCACAATGTCTTTACGTTCTTTACATGATAAGGACTTATTAGCTAATATTAAGGAGCCACCACGTAATTTAGTATCTCTATTGAACGAACTGACCACCTGGTGATTACTGAAATTAAATATGGAGTTGTATTCTTTCAACCAATGTTCTGTAATACATAAAATATTTATACTGTTACTATTTAAAAATAATTCAATTTCTAATTCTTTGCCTAACATACCTTGTATATTTTGATGCACCAGGTTGATACAGTTTTTATTATTTTTATTTTGTAAAATTGCATAATTATGTATTGGTAAGTTG